GCAGGCCGATGTTGGATCGGTCGGTGATCGTATTTATTGACGACATTTTGGTATATTTGAGATCTAGGAAGCAGCATGATGAGCATTTGAGGTAGATCCTCGGAGTTCTGAGATCGGAGAGGCTTTATGCCAAATTCTCCAAGTGTGACTTCTGGTTGCGAGAGGTCCAGTTCCTTGGACATCTTGTTAACCAGGATGGGATATTGGTCGATCCGGCCAAAGTGGAGGCAATTATGAGTTGGGAAGTGCCGAGGTCACCCTCCGAGATCAGGAGTTTTCTAGGGTTGGCCGGTTATTATCGGAGATTTATCAGGGATTTCTCTAAGATCATAGTGCCACTCACTAGGTTGACCCGGAAGGGTATTGCTTTTTCATGGGACCCCGAGCAGCAGGCCTCCTTTGAGACGCTTCGCCAAAGGTTATGCGAGGCCCCAGTGTTAGCCCTCCAGGAGGTAATGGAGGATTTTGTTGTATACCGCGATGCATCGATTTTGGGATTGGGAGCGGTGCTGATGCAGAGAGGGCATGTGATAGCGTATGTATCAACACAGTTGAAGCCTCATGAGTCGAGGTATCCCACCCATGACCTAGAGTTGGGGTCAGTGGTGTTCGCCCTCAAGATTTGGCACCATTATTTGTATGGGGTTCGGTGTACGATATACACGAACCATAAGAATTTGAAGTATTTTATGGATCAGCCCAACCTAAATATGCGACAGAGTAGGTGGTTGGACGTGGTTAAGGATTATGATTGCGAGATCCTGTACCATCCGGGCAAGGCTAATGTGGTAGCTGACACCCTGAGTCGCCGAGCGGAGAGTGCCCCGTTGCGAGGTGTATGTTCGCATTTGACCGTGATGACTCCGGTGTTAGACACCATTTGAGGAGCACAGGCTGAGGCAGTGAGGTTGGAAAACCAGAAGAGAGAGCGAGTTGTTGGACTGGTATCGGAGTTCGTTACCGATGGTCCGGGGCTTATGACTTTTCAGGGGCGTATTTCGGTACCGTTCGTGGGAGGTGCGCGTGCCATTTTCATGGAAGAGGCTCATCGGTCGAAATTCTCAATCCATCCTGGGGCCACTAAGATGTATTTCGATTTAAGGAAGGAGTATTGGTGACCCTGTATGAAGAGAGATGTTGCGTGGTTCGTTGAGAGGTGCTTAACCTGCCGTAAGGTTAAGGCCGAACATCAGAGGCCACATGGTAAGTTGCAGCCATTGGAGGTTCCCGAATGGAAATGGGAACAGATCACCATGGATTTCATCACCAAAATTCCCAAGAACTGCTCGGGGAGTTGATGCAATTTGGGTGAT